ATTTGAGGCGTATTTTTTAGTATCGTTTGTTCCATGTCCCGTCCTGCTTTCCTACTGATCGCCAATTTTCCCCGCATTGCACTATGGCTTGAAATCTGAGGTAGATTCCGACTTGCTCATGAGTTATGGGTTTTGATGCAATTGTCTTCAGAGTTCGTCGCGGTAGCCTCCAAACCAGGTGATTCATCATGCATCCGGCAGAACATCAGACTGCCGTTCCGACCCGGTAATGTTAATGATTATATGATGGTACTGCAGTCCAACCTGCTCTGGGGAGCACTTGTCCTGGTAGACCAGTCAAAAATACCCCCAACCTTTTCCCTATATCTTCCCACATGTCTTAACCTGCGTATCGCGTCCACCTGCCTAACGCAACCGCGACCATTTTTTTGTGATCCTCAGGCATTCTACACCCGTAAAAGGCACGACTGGCTGAGATTTCATCTTGAAGTGTCATGAAAGTCTGCCACCGTATCGCACAGATGGCTTGGATTTCGTCTCGAGGTATCATTATTGGCCCTTCTACTTATCCTGTCTAGGCAGCAGCGGTGCATTGATAATTTACTTATCCGCGCGTACAAAAGTTTGTCTAATGAATCTGATTTGTCCACAAAAGTGAGCGTTATCGGTACAATGGAACAATGGTCTTATACGGGTAAAAAAACGCTGAAGCTCAACAGGTCCCGTAGGATGGCCATAGTGAAAGTTCAAAATATAGAAGAGTTGTCAGCAAAATTAGGTTTACACCGGTTGTATAAACGGTAAATCCAATGTAATCCATAGCGTATGACAACAAATGCGACACTGGTAGCAAATCGTATCGCGTCCTGATGAGCACATAAGGGAGGTGAAATTGTGGGACGTATTCTGGGAGTTGACTGGACACCCGTGTTTATCCGTGGGTACTGAGTCATGTGGGAGTATGCAGCGAGATGAGTGCACGGTTAACTCGGGCTTTGCGAGCCTGAGATGACAGATTCTGGTAGGGCATTTAATTTTTTGTCAACGCGTACGACCTTCCAAACGACTGTACAACCCTGCCAGCTTGAGACGGTAGCCTCTCGAATTACTGTTACGATTAAGCTCTAGCAAATGGGGGAATCTGTTTTTGGGATTTCTCAAAATCTGGTAAGTCAAAGTTAGGTCCCCGCGCAATCGCCGATGTTGTCCGCTGTAGACTCCGAGCACTCGAAGCCTTCGCTCATACTGCAAATTATAAAAACTTTAACATTATTGGTTATTCTGCGTCGGGGTATCTAAGACGGTGTGATCTATCTTCAGCCATAGCTGCCAGACCTGTATTGCGTACTCCACATGCGCCGAGAATTGTGGTGAAATCGTAGGGTCGAATCGTCCGAATGCACGCTTCAGGGGGCCCACGTGTTGGATGTCACTCCTTGACGCCGTTTCATTCAGATTCGAACAACCAAGGGAAAACTGGACAAAAACTCCCAGATCCTTTTTGGCAGAAGACGTTTGACGCTCCTGGTTGCCGATTTTGTAGGGGTACACTAACTTACGCCGTAAGTACAGCACTCTACATTTGTCCACATTGAATCGAACTAGATTCTGGATTGACCACGCGTATACTTTATCCAGATCGACTTGTAGTGCTGTGATATCATCTGGTGTTTTGATCGCCCTCCCGGATACTATGGGGAAACTGTGTCGTCTTGTAGCCATGCGGATATTCGATCCGTATAAATTGCAGGAGATAAATAGCAGCTGCAGTATTCTGTGTCCATTTCCGGCGGAAATTTTTCGGTTTGCAGAGCTTGACAAATGACAAAATGCATAGATCCAAGATTGCAAAGAAAGAATACCAGTGATCCGACAAGAAGGAAAATGTTTACGAACATTGGCAAAGTATTTGAACTTTAAAGAAGATAGCCGCGTTTTTAACAGTTTAAAGAAACAACACACCTAGAGTGGAAAAAAGACAGAAAATGGGAAGTGCAACCTAAACACACTGTTAAGATTGGTGCCAGTCTGCACTTGCAAGAAAAATCCCATTATTTGGACCGATGTTTTAAAAACAAGTTTGGCACCTTGCAACAGTTGAAAATCTCAAACTTTAATACGCTTGGTTGGATGCTTTCATCAATAGGCATAATCTTGGGTTTGGTGAGCAATCTGGCGTAGGCGGTGACTCAGCTATGTGTGCTGCATCATACTGGACAGCAAAATTACCCGAAATATGTTCTGGTTACGCGAGCTAAGACATTTTTACTCTAAACGGAATTGGGCTGTTGTTCGAAGCGACGTTGGACAAACATTTCTGTCAGAAGAGAAAAATGCACAGGTGAAAAAATAAGCAAAGAGCGGATCACAGTTATGCTATGCACTAACATGTTGTGGGAGAGAGAACTGGCCTTAAAGATTGGGAAATCAGCCAATCCTCGAATTTTTAAAATCATCAACATAAACTACTGGCACTTTACAAGTATAGTAAGAAGGCGTGAATGTCTGCAGTTTTTTTTCTGAAGATTGGCTTAAAAGCACCGCCAGAAACATATAGCAATACCAGTACATCATTTTGTTGGTTGACAATGTCACTTGTCATCCCAAGATTCAGCTAAAGAATATCAAACTGCAGTTTCCGTTACCTAATACCACTGCATTTTAGTACAACTCTCCGATTTCAGGTGGGTCAAGGCGTATTTTAAACACAGAAAGTGGAGTGGAAACAAGGTAATTTGGCAAGGTGCTTTATGGCTGACACACACCATAGGAGTAAAAGTTTTTCTGACATTCTAGACGACTGTATTACGTGGCCAACTTTTGATGGCCCCCCAAATTCATGTTGTGACTGAGTTGCAGTAGGTGGCAGCAGACGTGGTTGGGGTTCCTCAAAATCTGGTAGATCATAATAAGGTCGCCACGTATGCGCCGATACCGGCCGCTGTACAATCTTAGAGTCTTCAGTCTAAGTTGATATGGAGGGTTAAACAAAGTTTGACGGGCTTCGTGGCTCTTCGATGTGGGGTCTCCAGTTCTGCGAGATCTTTCTTGTGCCAGTGCTGTCAAGCCTGCATTGTGTATTTCACATGAGGCCGCACGTGTGCGTTTGGCAACCGCGAACAAACAGACGAATCAAACCGCCCGAATGCCCTCCGCAGCGTGCTAACGTGGAGGTTTCTAGTCTTTGACACTTTCTCAGCTTGTTCGGAGCAGCCCAGATCAGCCTGGATTAAAAACCCAAGGTGGCGCTCCTGATTGCATATTTGCAGGACATGGTCTGATCCACACAACTTTGATCCAAGAGATGGAAAGCACTGAGTAGCGCTTATCAAACTGGTTCGACAGCGCGCACACGCAAGAGAATGTGTGAGGAGAATGGGAATGGCTACAGCGGGCGAATCGGGAGTCGAGTCAGAGTGCTGCCATACGGCGTCACACACGCTGGAAGTCGAGTTTGGGCTCCATTCCTATGCACAAGGTAACTCGGAGCACCTTGTGGTCACTATCCTGGAAGTTATCTAACTGGATATCCCATCATGAAAATTACCACTAGTATGCCTTTCGACGTAGGTAGTTTGGCGATCCACTGAGTCCATCCGCCGACTCTTATAGTCGACACAGGACCTTTGTACAATGGTGAGGATGGTTGTGATGTCCAAGATAAGCAGCTTTTTTTCTACATACTAATACCGATATATCAGCAAATGCAGAGGAAAAAATAACGAAATCCCTAGTTGTCGTTTTTTGGGGGTTGTATGTGCATTCGGGAACTATCGTAACAGAGGATACGACGACTAATAGCCATGGAGCTTCGGGGACATTGTTTAACTGTGAGTGCTCAAGATTCTCCTGTATACGAAACATCGGTCTCTCCATTTTGTGCTGCAATCTTTTCGAAAGTGGTTGTATTTGGAAATATCTTGAGTAGACTCCAAAATATCAGAGAATCGCTGCATTTCGGTGACGAAGATTGCATGTGGGCGTATAACTGTTCAAGCATGTTTGGGAATTTTAACTTCTCTTGTGGACCTTTCATTAACTTGGACAAGTGAAGTTTGTTGTATATAGAAAGTTTCTCGTTAGCACCTCAGAGTTGTCTGATTTAGGAATCAAAGATTACGGGCACTCATGTTAACTGAGGGAGTGAAGGAGATAAGTCTGTCGACGGCATACTTGTTTGCGAGTGCATTTTATCAATTTTATGCGTTGGTAACCGTGGTGGTCGGAGAGTCTTGAAGTCTCAAGGTCAAGGTAGACTTGTATGGAGCTAGTGGGGTCAATTGGATGAACCGTTGGAAAATTAGAACGAGCTACGCTTCTTCCACTGAATTTGTCAATATCGGGAATGGTTGCGGAACCACTTTCATCTCCTCTAAAAATGGTTATCAGAAAGCTGTGAGGGCCTGCGTGGTTGTAGTGTATGCTAGGGGTGGTGTCAGGTTTTCTCTCTTATCATTTCTCTGTGTGGGATTGCAGGAGGCTGTAAACCGATAACTAGACTATTATGATGGATTCTGGTAGACAAGCATAGCCAGAAGACAGTTGCCTGTATTTCACACCAGCTCGGAATATCATGTTGCGCTGCATTGGACGGTACCATGTTTCCCTTAGCCGCTTATTTCTTATAAATATGAGTGGTGATTAGTATTCTCCATATTTATTAAATCAAATGAATTCGAAGCGACGGGATGCCTGGCAGGACATTTGGGGTCTCTTGTGTTCGGTTGTTGCACTGGTTGCGATAGCATCCGGAGTGCAGTTACTCGGTGCTACCACTCCTAGAGATGGGCTGTCAAGGTCCACCTTGATAGCTGTATTTCCCCCGTTTGTTATACTATTTCTATGTAATTCGTCTGGGGATTATCGACACATCTGCTGTGGTCTTTCGGCTCTTTTTGTGTATGCATGGTTCGTTCACGGGGGTCGCGTTTAGACTTCTGGAGATTTCTTTTAGCTTGTTTTCGAATGGATGTTTTTTACATGTTCGTTTTCCAATTACCAGCATTGTGCCTTTATACTCTGTTCCTTTTTCTCTGTAGCTCATGAACTCCGTTGCGTCCGTGGAGCAAGATGTAACGGTATACTTGCTAATGCTTCAATGTGTACAACTGTTCCTTCGATTGGCTTGGCCGTTGGCTGGTGCGATGTTTCTTCCGGACTTAATCCCACCTCTTGTTGCATTTGTGGATTTGGAGTTTGAGCGCGCCAAACAGTCGTCTCCCGTAGGCACTCCTCCTTCACATATACTGCCCATCTTCGAGCAGATTAAGGCTATTTTGTCTATGCTTTCAACTATTCAACCAAAATTGTTGGGTTTACTTGAATCTGTCTGTGAATATTCACCATCATTTGCCAAATTAGTTCCTTTGCCTTGATAATATCAAACGATACTCCGATATTTTTCCTCTTTTTCATGTTTTTTACTAAACTCGCGTCCCAAGACATCGGTCATGCAGCGTCTCCAGGGCGTGGTATCAAAGCGATTTATGATAATAACCAACTAGTGCTGTTGCACACTTAAATAATGGGATCAATGCTGCTTCTCTGACAGGTTGGAAGCAATGCGTCTTTCGTTACTAGTCCCGTTTAGAGTGAACATACTTCATAACATGTTGCGCATTTTTTTCTACGATTCCTTGCATGCACCCTCATTTGGTCCAATCCCCGTATCCGTCGTGCTTATGATTCTCTACGGAAGCCTGTTGGCTCGTACTTTATTGTTTTCTAAGTGGATAGCAAGCTCAACGGAATGCTCCTGTCAATCTTGGTAATAGTATACGCGGAACATTTGTGTCAATTATGTGGCTTTAATGGGCTCCTGTACACGTCGGACGACCGTTCCTGTCATAATATTATTTAATATGTAATGTGAAGCAGAATGAGTTGCTTTGGTCCACATGCCAGCGGAATAGACACTTTCATTCTGCTTCCACGGATCGTTGTACAGTTCGATTTCCCTTCAGGATGTGTTTGTCCCACATGGAGCTTATTTTTCATCAAGGATTTTAGTTGTGCATTCCACAGACAGCGATTCAAGATCTTTGCTTGAGTCCAGTATGCCTTGTTGCAATTACATAGTCCACTGACCCTCTGCTTTCGTAATCCTATCTATCTGCTTCCATCCGATAGTTACTCTGCCAAAATCCCTTGTTCGTATTTCGGTTGTCCCTTCAATTTGATCCATACTTCCAGTCATCTGTTAAATGTTTAGTGCTCTCTTGGCCGTATTTTTTCATTCACATTAACCCGAAACTAGTAACTTCGTCTTAAATTTCCGTGGAGTCATCCTCGCAACCCTATCTCCTGTGTCATCTTTGTTTTCTGAGCCAATTCTGTCAGGATCGGAAACAAAGAAGGCTCATAGGGAGTTATATTCAAGGACCAACTAAGTGGATGACTCTGAAGTGAACAGACTTACTGCCTTATGCTGTTCCAATGTCATCCATCTCATTTCACGTTTTGTATTCCATTATGACATACTAGCTATCCTTACCACTGATTCGCGTTGGTCGTCTTTCCGCCCCAACTTCCCCGCCCCCTTAAATGACTTCACTGGAGAATACTTGAAATATTTGTACTACTTGCCATTCGTAAGTAGCCTAATACTTCGCAAACCCCAGTCAGCGTCGCTGGCTGTTCGATGTCGCGGAACAGGCTTCAAGTCAATAATACGCTTTAGCACCCATGAAGCGCAAATTCAGCTCTAACAGACATGCCACGGACAGGCATAAATAAATAAAACTTGTAGTACATGAGGATAGATATAAAACCACATTTGTTAAAAATCTTTGACAAAGCAATTATCACCGGAGTAATATACTAACCAGTTTTTGAATAACTGTTTTTATCGTTCAAATAAAGTGGCATGCAAGAAACATCTGATGTACCATAGGCCCTTATTCAAGCATGTATGGATTTGTAGCTGTCTGGTCGAGGAGTTTGATATGCATATTATCAACACCCTATAGGTGGATGGTATTTTAGACGCAAGCTTGTTACAGGAGTTGACATGCCTGTCGACCGGTGGCCGAGTGGTCTGCGCGCCTGGTTTACAATCATATCACTGGTTCGAATCCGTGTAGAGGTGGGCGTCTTCGCGATACACTCAGCCTGCGCGCGACTGGTGGTGGTCGCGTGGCAGCGTACGGCGGGCGATTTATTTCTTTTTACCTCTTGACACGGCTGGCTACAATGATGCTGACAAGTTCCATCTTTGAATCGCCACTACCACGGGCTAAATGTTGCACTGATCTGGAAATAACTTTGAGGTTCTAACTCAGGAGAAAATGAAAGATCATGGGAAAGCTATAGATCCTGTAGTTTAATACACATACAATGAAAAAAACTGGATCAAAAATCGGGGTACCGACGTGTAACATAGAATGAGAGTCTTCGAACTTTAACAAATGTTTCGTTCACGTGAATGGACCATGTAAGCCTACTGTTCCGTGTCACTCCCGGGTATTTTGCTGAATGGTGAGAGCTCATACATTCACCGTCAATGCAAATTTACGGACACTGCGTTAGCATTTGATCGTAGCGATTTTCTTTGAACAGCTAATGTGGGACTTCTTGCATTTTGAGTATTTTGCGGCAGCCAACGGAATTTGGACCAAGTTGTACAGGAGTGTTTGTACTTTGGCCGATGACTATGCTTGTGTGGTGGACGCCAAGGATTACGTCGTCAGCAAAATGGCTTCTTCGGGGACGGGGATTGAGGTAACGTAAGTAGAAATAAAAATGGGGACAAAATGACCCCCTGAAGAACACCCGTTTGAGTTGAGTGAAGAAGAGTTTGGAAATTCGTGTGAATATTTGTAACTCGGGATAGGGGTGAGGGTATTTGATTGTTCTCCGAGCTGAGTAATTTGGATGCAGAGGTTTCATCCTCAGGCTAGACGGCATCATCAGTGTGATTTATACTGGCATCTTCTAGGTCCAAGTTATCCTTGATCATTTACTGATTCGAACGTCAGAAGTCAGTGGGGCCACTTGAGTTGACCGTGTAGTCAGCTCTTGCGTTCCGTTGGCTAGAGTCCGCCTCATTGACGTTTCATTGTCTTGTTGATTTTAGCCGGATTATTGGTTTGACCCTTATGTTTCCTAGGCAGTATCGAGCTATATGTGTTTGTTGATTGAGTTCTGCCTTGAGTACCAGTCTTGGATGAACTCGCGCGCTTTTTGTTTTCCCTGCCTATGATCTTAACATTCTCCAAGTCAAACTGATGGTTCTCGGCGTCCATATGTACCGACATCAGTGAGTTCTGGTCATATCGGCGGATGGCTAGGCTATGCTCTTTAGCCTAGTGCCAAGCTTCCCTCCTGTTTGGCCCATATAGTATTTGTTACAATTGTTGCAGTGGATCTCGTAGATCGTACCACTTGTTTCTTCGTTGCCAAGCCGATCCTTACCGTTGAAGAGCTTATCTCGGATAGTCTCCGTCGGCTTGTGAGCAACTCTGATTCTGAAAGGTAGTAGCAGTCTCGCCGCCATCTCAGAGACTCCGTTGATTTAAGGTATAATCATTGTCCTTTTATCCGCTTCTGATGTTTGCCAAACCGATGGTCATTTTATCGATGTTAAACAACGTGAAATAAAACTCAGGATACCCATTCCTTGTAAACATTTTGAACAGATGCTCTTCCTTAGCTGCGGGTTGCTGTAATGTGTCTGAGCCCTTTTAACTAGAGTTCTTTCGTAGTCGCACTTGTAGATTGTTGAATGATTGCTGCGATAATTCAGGATTTGGTCTGTATGTGTTGCTTTCCGACAAACCAGTGTCTCCAGTTGTCCAGCAGCATGTCACACCACTAAAACATCCATGAATGGTAGCTCACCGTTATTCTCCTCTTCTTTAGTGGTCCGGATACTAACAAACGTGTTGTTTACTAGCTGATGTCTTTCTTCCAACTTCGAGCACTTCAGCATGGCAAATGTATCATCCACTTAACGTCGTCAGATTTTAGGTTTTGCGACCGGGAGTGCGGTTTCTTCCATTGCCTGCATCTCTGCTTCAGCCACTATCCCGGATATCGGTAAACTCTTTGGTGTGTCTGTTATTTGTCTCTAAGTTTAGCCGTTAAAACTGAAGTGTGTCATGAGGCATAAATTCAGTAACCTGCCAAAGTAGATACGTCTGGTGGAATAATGTTCCAACAGAAGAACAATGGCAAAAGTTGAATCCAGAACCTAAGAGACCGTGCAACAATAGTTCACGGTTTATGCAGGCGAAAGCGTTGCAAAATCTCAGGAAGCAGATGCGATGGATTTGTTTTTACTATCCAATGACGAGAGCACAGTAGGTAATTAACATGCTGCCGCATCTAAAGTGAACCTTGAGGTGCGATATGCAAACTGATGTGGGTCATCCAAATAGGTCCTGGCTATCCTTTTAAGAATAAGTCTCTCAAATGTCTTCAGAGCAAACGAGGTGCAAGCGATTGGCCGATATTTGTAGGTTCCTTTTTTGGGCACTAGGGTGATGCGCTTCGTCAATTGTCCGCTATCCTCTAGTGCTTGAAGCAGCGTGCACAACTCGACGAGAGCCTGTGCCAGGTAATCCGCACATACTATGCGAACGACAGGAGAACGCTTATCCGGATTAGGTGCTTTGTTCACCTGCATCCCGATTTATTCCGTGTACTTCTAGGCTGTTCACAGATGGAGGGTTATCTGAAACTAGCTGTAACCCAACAGATGGTATATCAAAGGATATACTACTGTCCATGTCACAAAAATTGGGGTTTAGCTTTTACACATCCGGAGTTGAATGCGTGACTTCGCGAGGGACTCCGCGTTACTGTTTGAGCATTTTCCATCTTTCACGATAATCATTGTTTCCAAGTTTGGCTTGAACTTAGATGTGGTTGAGGCGCGGCCATTGGATTTTTGTATCAATCCATAGAGACTTTAATGATGCCGTGTCTTTGTGTAGACTTAGAAAAGGAAAATTCCTTTTCTTTAAGCCTACGTGGTCATTTGGGACGTTGAGACGAGAATCTATCGGCACGGATAAAATTTGTTTCAATTAGACCATAGGTGTTGTAGCAGAATTTTAAGTAACTAGTTAGCTGGTCACAATACTTCTGTAAGTCCGCATCGTGAAATAAACTAAAATCTATGGAGGCAATGGCTTCACGCAGTCGTTGAATGTTCTGGGGAAGGCATTTTCTCCGCCTGAACTTTCGATCTTTACAACGGGTCTGATCTTTATGGTTTATCTAACCATAGATAACGGGAGATAAGATGACATGATCAGATCTCCTAGGCAGTGTCAGATTACAAACAGAAAACAATTTCAGGTTGTTAAAAAACCATGCCAAATGTTGCCTCTAACCTGATTTGAGATTGCACTTCGTTCTTTAGCCAAAGGCTCGTCATGAAGTTGATGTCAGATC